GAAGTCAATATCTCAAACCGTTTCAAAATGGCGGCCGGTTAAAGTTCAAAATGGCCGAAAATTCACACCGGTTATTTGTCGATGGATTTGCGCGAAAATCGGTATGTAGGGGTATTTGACACGAGAAAAACGAATTTGACGTTAGATTTTCAACAAAACCGAAATTTCCAAAATGGCCGCCGGTTAAAGTTTAAAATAGCTGAAAATTTTCACCTTGGTTTTTTCCTGATGGATTTGCCTAAAACTTGGAATTTGAGAGTATTTTGGTATAAGATGAACAAATTTGAACTTAGATTTATGAAAAAATAAATTTTTGGTCATTTTGAACTTTAACCGGCGGCCATTTTGGAAATTTCGGTTTATTTAAAATCTAACGTCAAATTCGTTTTTCTCGTGTCAAAATACCCTTACATACCGATTTTTGCGCAAATCCATCGACAAATAACCGGTGTGAAATTTCGGCCATTTTGAACTTTAACCGGCCGCCATTTTGAAACGGTTTGAGATATTGACTTCGGGTATGCGCGAAAAGTTTTCTTTTTTCATGCTGTTTCGAACGAGCTATCACAAAGGGGGTCTTCCCATTTGAAAATTTAAAGTTGGGGGCCGTTGCCCCCCCCCCCCCAAGGGGGGCCCCCCTGAAAATTTTAGGGGGGCCGAAAAGTAGCTCCCTTTGACCCAGGAATATCCCCCAAGTTTCAAATCTTTACCTCAATTAGGTAAAAAGTTAGAGGGGGTGAAAGGGACTTTTGGATCACCCTGTATGTGCGTTAAACGACGTCTACAAATTACCAAATTTTCGCGAAGAAATTACGCATTTCTCGGACTGCTGAGTTTTTTTATCCTTTTGTAATGTTCACAGACACTTTTTACTCATATTTTGATCCGGTTTACCCAAGGAAAATTATTCAAGTCTTGTTGAACAAAGTAAATTAATGTTTAATTGCCAAAAATATCACCCAAAAAACTACACGGTTTGTTGTAGGTACGCACCGTTGAGAAATGTGCTGTACGGCGTGATACCACTAATCGACCTTCCAGGAGCTAAGTGTGCCTATTCTATTAATTGAAGGCGTTTTTTTTTTTTTTTTTTCCCGCCAGGTCACTTTACGCAAAATCTCTATGAACTATTGTAGAGAGAAGCAGATTCTCATTTGAAACTGTTTCTTCTCCAATGACGTTTTCACATACGATCTCCAAACTGCCGTGCTGAGGAAAAAACCGGCAGGGAAAAGGAGCATTCAAATTTTGCAAAATTGTCTCTAATAAATATTTACTTTAGAAAAGAGTTATAAATATTTTTCCTCGGAATTTCCTATCACATAAGATCAAATGACGAAAAGGTTTCTCGGAAAAGCTGAAGAAGAAGACTCTAAATTATCCTGAAGATGTGTGTTTTATCAAAAGAAATTTGGAAACGTGTAAAGGCTCATTACACCAGTTCTTTTTAGGACGGCAGCGCCAATCTGCTGTGAGTATGCGTTGCCAAATTTTCTCGAAGAAATTACGCATTTCTCTTAATATGAATTTTTCCTTTTCTTTTTTATCATTTGGTAAACTTTACAGATGATGTTCACTCATGATTTGATCCGGATGACTCAAGGAAAAATATTCAAATCAGTCCATCAAAGTAAATTAACTATTCAACTACCAAAAATATCACCCAAAATACTACATGCTCTTTGGCAAGTACTGATGAGAAACGTGCTGTAAGACGTGATACCACTATTCGACCTTCCAGGAGCTAGGTGTGCCTATTCTATTATTTGAAGGCGTTTTTTTGCCGCCGCGTCGCTTCACGCTATATTTCTTTGAACAATCCTGGTAATAAGCGGTTTTTATTTGAAATTGTTTCCTGCTCAATAACCTTGATGACGTTGTGGCGCTGCGTCAACAAAGACATAACAGCCACCCAATATTCCAATCAGAAAACACGGGTAGGAAGGCCGAAAAACTCACTTGTCAGCGTCGCTTTTCTGGAGATGGGCATAAAGAAAATTCATACATTTTAAAAGCTAATCGCGTTCGGAGATTTTTGAGAAACAACATATCAGATAATATATAAATTTAGCCGGCGCCAAACTTCTTAGTACTTCACGCTGAGACCGTGTCCGCAACCGTGTCCTTTGACCCAATCCAAGTCAATGGCTCGGTAAAATTGAAAAACCTTGACTAGCGGGAAATGATTCAAATCACATGCAAAAATTTCGGATGTGAGCGGAACTTGGGGTCCTCCTATTCATTCGTGCATGGACGGAATTGTCTGTTGGAGGCGACTACTTCTTTTTTTGGATGGCTCCTTCGAATTTTTTCCGTTCGGCTTCGAAGTAATTAACATACAGAGAATGAAAGGCGTAATTCGAGCACGTGCCTGGGCAATGCTCAATCGAAATGCTCGATCATGCACCAGCGTTACTGAGTATTTCAATTGTCGAACTCCACTAACACGCATCCCGATTACTAAGTTCAAAAGTTAGAGGAGAGGAGCAACAAGTTTTTCTCAGACGGAACTGACCTGTACTGACTCACACCTAAGTCTCTCAATAATCGCCTGATTAGAATTCCAGGATTTGTGCATTGCGAATTAGGAATGACCAAAATCACATTTTCATCTTCCAAGATTTGCTCTGATTTCAAGAGCGCCAAAGTTGAGTCCACGTTGTTTGTCACTTGGAATACCCTCAATTCCTTCTCGGCGATGATCTGGAAAGGAAACATAAAGATGTTAAATACGAATGCGCCCATGAAGAAAAAGTGTTGGTTATGGACTAACCAGAGATCTGCCAGAGAAGAGCCACTGTGCATCATACTTTTATCCTCCTCTTTCCACTCTTCCCATAAAAAAGTTAAGACTTTCCCGGTCAGCAGATCGGACCTAATGCGAGTAGGAGATAAAAATATCATTGAAGCCTCAAAAAACAAGAGGCCGACAGTAAGCGTGCCTGCAATATGTTAAGTATGCGATTTGAAGTAGGGGAAACTTGAAAAATTACATCGTAAATTTTGCATACAGAAGCGCAATGGGGAAACTTCAAAAATGCGTATCTCGGTTGGAAAGTTTCAAAATTTCTGGTCTTATTTAATTTTTTAAAAAGAGATCGAACCAAAATCATGGATTGAAATTCTCGAAAAATATTCTTCATTCAGAGAAGGACCGAAGTTTTCAAGAAATAACTTTGAGTAGTTTTCCATGTAGGGAATATAGAAAGTAATACAGGAAGTCTGCGACGCCGCGAATTGAGATACGCATTTCTACAGTTTTACCATCGAGCGATTTGTGTAAAGGATTTCTTCGATAATATTTTGAAAATTAATAATAAAGGAACGTTATACGCAGTATACACAAAGATTGCATCTATTCACGTTGAGTACGTGTATATAAAAAACGCCTAATCGAAAGATAAACTTACCGTTTTCAAAAGTCCAAATCGAAGCGACCCAAAAATTTGTTCATACACCATTTCGTAGTGAATTTTCGACTTCAATGCGGCGTCAAGGACGTCTTTCATGTGTGTTTCAGCCGGAATCGTTACAAAAATGTATGAAATGATTGAGTCGTCTGAAGGAGTTAAAGCTGTGACAGTTTTGAGATCACAGACAAAATGGAGATTTGCTTTCAGATTTGACTCAGAAATTTTAGGTGGATTGGCAGGCGCTAACTTCACCTATAAATGAATCGTTAAGAAATCACTTTAAAGCCTTCTTTGGAAGAAATTACATTCAGTGAATTAATTATTTCGATTTTCATGGATTTCAATGTTTATCCAACAGGGCAGACTGCAAAATGAAATTTAGAGATAGAAACAGAAGGGGAAGAAAAGATGCGATTGCGAGACCTAGAATTTAAACTGGAAGTAGTCGCAAGAGGTCAGAAAAATTGGTTGGTACTAAGAGGGAACAAAACAGTGAAACCAAGTAAAATGAGTGATCTATTTTCATTTTCTTTTGTTCTTTTCAAAAATCAGAAAACTAATTCTTTATCTTTGAGCATTATGAAATTCGCTGCCTAACGCGTTTTGAGGTGGGTTTCGCATGTAGGTTTTGTATATTATGTGTTAGAGGCTCCCTTTTACTACTTTCTGCTTTCTTCTTTTAAGTATTACTCTTTTCTTATACAGGGTGTCCCAAAAGTCCGAACCCCCCCCCCCTCTTAGTAACTTTTGAACGGTTAGAGACAGAGAAACAAAACTTTAGGAATGTTGCTGTCTTAAAGGAAACCATCTTCTAGGGGGGTCAAAATTTTTGCCCCTTCCTCAGGGTGGGGGAAGCGGGGGGCCTCAACTTTTTTTTCAAATGGTGACCCCTATCTTGTGATACACATTGGAAAGGACATTAAAAACTAAGAATTTTGGCGCAAACCGTAGATCAATATCTTAATTTTTGACCGAGCAATGATAGGTAAAAGTTCAAATTTTACCTATTTTCAAAAAATCATAACTCCGGTTCAAATTATCGAATTATCCGGTTCAAAATTTATAGAAGTGAGATTTGAAAATAGAATAGTTCAACAAAGGCTCATGCAGTTCTCCAAAAAGAAGAGAGTTTCTATAAACCTTGTAAACTAGTAACTAGTTGTGTAATCTCTCATGCTGCCTCCCTCTTTCCTCTTGCATGCATACAGTCATAGTAAAAATACTCACTTTTCGATCATTGCCATCCGATCGAAGAACCTCTGTAAACATTTTAAGAAGTAGTGAATATTCTCGTTCATTGTTCCCTCCAAATATCTGGATTTCAAGAGGCTCATCATTCGCATGACTTACTGCCCCCGAGTTCTCAACAATCAACTGAAGACTGGCACGCACAAACTCGTACTGGTCCTGTAAAATCCATGATCACGTTGAAACATATTTGAAAGCTATGGACTCACTTACTCAAGATAAATTTGCTTGCTATCATGAATAGATGAGATTGCACAAGATGAATCAAATAACACATCACAACCTCGAGTTGGGTCTTTCTGCAGCAGGGTCCTAATTATTGGGAGGAAAATGAATGTACTACGCATATTTAAAATGAGTAAATACCGCAATAAAATATATCCTAGGGTTGCTGATTGGTCAGGAACACAGTCTCAGCTCGTCAACGGAATTTTAATTTTTATATATGTCTGATACATTTTGATAAATAGGGCAAGAAACTTTAAAAAAATTCAAATTCCTGGTATCATCAATAAAACATCATGATGATGTTCAAATGACCTTTGGAGGTACGGGATGCTTTAAATCCATGATCATCGCACTGAGAAAAAGCTATGGCTTACAAACCGATTAGTGGTTCATATGGAACATCACAAATAGTAGTAAAAGCAACATACACTTTAGGAATGGTAATCCGATAATTTGATTTCTTTTATTCCTTTTTTTTTTTTTTTTTTTTGATAATCACAATTTTAGCAGAAACAAGCCTACCGTCCTTTGATTTTTCCGAGGGAGAGTTGAAACTAATTTCAGTACTTAACATTGAATATATAAGAACTAGAGGTACTGAGTATGGTACGAGATACCTTAGTATGGTTCACAGACCGAGAATCTTTAGTTCATTTACGACTACTAGTGTCGTTCCATATAAACTACTAATTGGTTTATAAAGCTATAGATTTTTCTCCATGTGTGACAAGTGTTGCCGGATTATGATGCGGCCCGTAAGCAGTATCTTTATCCGAAAAGTCGCCTGAATTCCGAGAAGATACATTTAACGGATAATAGCACAGTCCGGCAGTACTGTCCACGGAAAAAAAAAGTTTCAGGGGGGTTATCCCCCAAAATTGTTCTACTACCCGAATTTGTTAGATGATATGGACATTTCCAATTAATTTTGGTAGCACCGCAACTCAAGTTGGGGTAGTACCACAACATTTGGGTTAGTACCTAGCTTAATTTACCGGGATACTACCACAATTAATTGGGATACTACCACAATTAGTCGGGGTATTACCACAATTAATTGGGAATGTCCTTATCATCCAACAGTTGGGTCTTAACCCCTACCTCTTTTTTTTCCGTGTCGTGTTGATCATCGAACATATTCTTCTACCTCCGATGATCATTCGAGCACCATAAGGGATATTACCCTCATCCCAAAGATTGATGTGAAAATATGGACGGCGTAGTTTCAAACCTTGAAAGAATTCTCTGCATATGGTACGAAATTCAGGCGTTCGGTTTTAATGTTATGAAGATTCCGGACCTCTTCCCCGATTGGCTGCGTTTTGAAAAGGTCGACCGTGACTCCATCACACTCGAAATGACGTACCACAGAATTAATAAAGTAATCAACTTTTGAACCTGCAAAATAAGTCACTTCGTAAGGAGTTGATATAGGTAATTTCCGTTGTGCGCATTGTGTTCTACGTGAAAGGTTAAGAAACATGTATCAGAATGTTGAAATTCGTACCTTGTCTAGTGGTCCATTCATGAATATTGTCTAATAAATTAAGGAGAAAGACATTACCCGTTGGTATTATTGAGAAGAGAGAGGTTCGTTTCCCGCAGAAGCGTGAAACTTGAAAAAGCGTGTTACAAACTACGGAGATTCCGCGCTGAGGAGTGAATCTCAGACTTTTTTGAAATGCCCAACGTGATTTTGAGGCAAATTTTCCCTTAAAATGTGTATTCAGTTGGCTGTATTACTTGTTTGCAACAGACCCATTCAAAACTCAAAATGGATCAGTCATATCAATTCAACTATTTCTTTTTTCTTTTGGGGAACTCATTTATGGCTGGGTATTTGTACATCAAAAGTACAAAGGATAACAGAAAGAAAATTGCTAAATACAAAATATCGCGGATAATGGATGATCTTTGGGTCAAATTAAAACTTGAGAAAAATCTGCGAGAGCAACTAACGATGTTCCAAACGTAGAAGTATTGCATGCCTATAAATTGCCTTCAAATTCTGCTGCTGCAAGCGTAGATACACACTAGCCTCGTGTCTCAGTTTCGGGGCTTTAAGCTATAATGTTAGGCCTATTATAGGTTTTGATACTTATAGAAAATATTTCAATATTTGATTTTCACACAGCATTAGCTTTATCTCTTAAAAAACGAAGAAACTCTGCATAAACCGTTAGTTCACTGTTAAATCACCATAAGTAAACCAGCGCGAACGAATGAAATATCCAAAGGTTTTCAATGAAATGCTTCAGTTATCTTAGTAAGAATACCTCTTATTGAAATAATCTGATTTAGTTCCGAGGGAAAATTAGTTTAAGGTTTGAAAAACGTGTGTTAAATATAATTATTCACCGCAGTCATCCGAGGAAAATCATCAGTTAAGCATTCTCAAAACACAGAGATATTATTTAGTATCGGTTGGTATCAGTAAAAAATCGGACTAATTATTATAATTTTAACCGTATCCCAGCGCTCGTTAACTCATCAATTTACTACAAACAATAGAGGCAGTAAATGAAATTCATGAATGTTATACATTATTTGTCTGAGATCATCTATTCACTTCAGGATCCTTGTTTGCAAGATACGTGTTCATTGGAAATAAAATCAATTATCTTATTGGAAATGTCTGTTTAAATTGTCATAAAGTCATAAAAACCATGCTTCATGTGTTTCAACTGGACGTATGAAGTAGAGAATTTTATCACATTTTGGCGCAAAACCGTCAGAGAGACGAGTCACGAAATTTTCAGTTTTCCCGTGATTTCATTGTAGCTTGATGGAGATCATAGTTAAAGGTACTCACTAATTTGTGTAATATTCTTAGAGAATGAGACTTTACCTTTCCTCAGATTCTGCAACTGGACGGGATTTAAGTGTATGAACTGGATTGACACAGGTTTCACGACACGTCCAGTGGCTTGAATATCTCGTAGAACGTTGATCTTGATGATCGTGTCCAAATAAACGGTCCAGTCCGGGTTCCATTTGACCTTTCCAACGACCCCTATGGACATAATCTTGCATATTTAATAACATCGATGAAAGGAGCTAAGAAATTCGTACCTTTGATTCCGACGTATTCCTTCATGTTTCACTTATTTGAAAATAAAACTAATAGTTTTTCTCGTAATTTAATTGGTTATTCAAAATTCGTGCAAAATTTTCAGGGAGATCTTTTGAAATTAAAGCTAAGGGATCTTCAAAAACTGCACACGGGTCGTTTGAAGGGTATGATGAAATGAAAAAACGCCTTTGCAAACCTACATCAGCGACGTAGGTTTTCAACAATTAAGACTTGTTCGCGGTTAATAATTTTTCAACAATGGGTGGTTATTCCTTTATCAGTTTCGATATTTAAGAATACACATTGTGAAATGTGAAGTAAATTATCATCACACTGAGCTATCAAAAATTAAATCAGTTGCTTATCGAGTAAGACATTATAATTTTAGTTTTTGAGCTTAGACTATTTTCAATTTAAACGAAAAATAATGGAATCATTTTAATGAGTAGATTACCGTTGTTACACATATGCCAGTCCGAAATTGCCTTAGTTTTAAATCCGTTGATTTTTCCGATTCCATCGAGAAAATCAGAGAATTCTTCTCCTTTCAAAGTGTGATGAAACTCGTTATTCTTCAGAAAGTCCTCAAGTTGTGAAGTTTTTTTAGGGTCGTTCCAAATCACTATTTTCCCTTGCATAAGCAGGGTGTCTTTAGTTTTTGGATCCTTCACCCTTGTCTCGAATCCAAAGGCCGTTTCTCTTTCCTCGATATATTCTTGAAATACAGAAAACTCACCCGTGCCAGGTAGAATTTGTACCCAAATGTTACTGAATCCTGTAAAAATGGAGAATTTGATGAATATACACACTCTGTGGAAGTAATTAATTATTATTTATTATTTTCGCAGTCACTTCTTTCTACTTCAATTTCTTTATTTATTTTTAAAGTAATTTTATGATAATCATAACGTATATTTATGTATTTATGCCTCACTATGTTCATTTTTTTAAGTTTGAACTTCATGCACCAATTTGCAAGATTTCTGGTGTGAATTTGCAATTGATGCACATCTCAGCATTACTAGCTTTGCCCGCAGGTCTCCAAAAAATAAATTCATCTGCAGCTTTACCTTCAGATGAGAAATTAATTTCAGAAAATATCTGCACATCCTCGAAAACGACCGGTAAGTCGTGCATTGACTTTTGATTTAAGTCACTCAGCAGTTTCCAAGTCTCCGCCTGTAAAAACAACATGAATTTTACATTGTTTTTATTTAATGAGCTATGACAGCATTGTTGATCGTTCTCTTTTCTCTTCTTTCAGTAGAGCAGATATTTATTTCGCGCTCTATCCTCTTCCTGGAAAAAGTCACACCAGAGAGGGTGGAGGACATTTCTGCAAAGCTTGAAGTAATACACTTACATAGCTCCTCAATAACAGACATATTTTAACATTGTAAATTTTAAACAAACATGTACTTTAAAAAAAAATAAGTATTTCTTAATGCACAACCGTTTTAGGAGTAAAAAATACACTGTCAATTGTAACTTTGGAGATTTGCAACCCAATCAAACAGCTTTGCCTTCGACCTTTTCAATTGAAGATGTTCTATTCTAAAATTACTAAACGTATACCTTTTGAATTTGTGCGTGAGATGACTTTTACATGAATTGAAGTCAAGTAAATAAGAATCTTTGCAATGTCGGTGTTCTAACTTATATGAAAAAACGGAGTGATGGGCCGTCGTACTCACAACTTTCATAAATTTACCTTAATCTACTTTTTCATCAAATGTATCATCGGTACCTAGTAACAAAAAGCCTAGTAGGCGCTTAGGGGCCTTACAAAAATTACGTAACGCACTTTTACAGATTTTTTGACTCCCCCCCTCCATCTCGCAACGCACCCGTAACGCGGAGCTTGACTTCTTCCCCCTATTTTCTTTTAAAGCACTAAAACGCTGGCTGAAACCCCCCTCTTTCGCAATTACGTTCCGTAATACTTGAACGGCCCCTTACATTAATAACAACAGAAAACGAGGAGCTTACCAAAAAAAGCGAAAGTTGCAAGACGGGTGTTCCTTTCTTTTCATATTGCTTCAACATGTCTTCCACCTGTCCCAACGTGAATACTTTGTCAGGTTTTAGTTTACGACTAGCCACCAGTTCCCGCTAAATTGGAACAAACAAATACTGTGCAACATTCAGGAAAGAAAATTGTTCAACGTAGATTCTTCTTGAAATAATTTTTTTTTTTTTTTTTTTTGTTTAATATCTAACTGCGATCTTTAACTGTTTAACTGCAAGATCACCGTCCGCCATTTGAAGAAATAAAAAAAGGTTCATTTATTCTTTAACATCGCGATCGAGACATAATATGTTCAATGTTTTACAATCTTCCTGAAACAACCGCAACATTGCTGCACGGTACGGTCTTATGAAAAACTGCATTGCGATTCATTTACTGGAAGGAATAGAACAATCAACCGGCTGACAATCTCATAGGCATCACGTTAGTAATGATCGTCACTTTACGTTTTTGAACTTTTTGGCCTTGTTTTCCCCGTAACAGTGTGGACATAGCGATATTTTACCACCTATTCTTAATGATAATGCACCTGATGCGACTATTCGAGCTTGATGGATATCTATGTTGCATATTCAAACAATTGAAGGCATTTTGGCTTACCTTGCCATCGTTTTGCTGCATAGTGTGCAAAAAAAGAGTAAAATTTATCTCCAATGAGAACGAGAACTCTGCGGCAACAGATAGCCGTAAAACCATTGCACCCAGGCACCCACCTAAGTAGCCAATTGCCAATTGGACCGCCTTTAACAGAAAGGAACCAAGCCACATCAGCTGTTGCCTTTAACTGAACTATTCAATTTTTTACCAGAGAACGTTGGTGCCGGCTCCCTTTAAAGCTGTAAGGAATTCGCTTCGAATATGGAGAAAATTCACTGAAATTTGCACTTAAATCCGCAAAACTATTTTCACGTGAAAAATTAACTTGCCCCATTAAATTTGGCAATAGCTGATGTGGCTTGGTTCCTTTCTATTTAACGTGGTCCAATTCCAAACTCCCTGTGGAACCGTAATCTCAGGATGTTCTGGAATACCGCTCGTTAATAATATTGCAGTCAGATATTATTGACTGCAACAATTAATTGTTGATAAACCATATAGTCTCATTTTTGAAGAAAAATTTTCATTTGACGGCATTCATCTTGCACACTTGTCTCAACTCAAAACCGTTTTTCTTCTGTAAAAATCTTACCAAAGCTTCCGGTGGAGGATATGATTCAGAGTGCTCCCAAGTCACAAATGGCTGAAGGCTCGGTGTATCACAAGGGACGGGAAACTGAATAGGAGGGTACAAGCTGGTCACGTCTGGTTCAAGTCCGAGAAGGTACATCCTGTGAAGCGAAACATTTTCCTTTTTATGAGTGAATTAGAGTTGCGATCCTGGTCTGATCGAATGAAGGACTAATTTAAACAAACTTTTACGTATGCTCCTGTCCGAATTTAAAATAGGAAATTGGTTCCAAAACTGAGTAACGCACAACTGTGTGATTTGAGTTAAGTTCGCGGTGATGAATCAGTTACGCTATTCTCAAAATTACATTTAGATGGTTCACTGAAAAAAAAAAAAAAAAAAAAAAAAAAAAAACATTGGATCTAGAGTCCATACTTTTAAAAACATCGACAAAAAACATACTCTTGATTCAATTAGATTTAAGCTTAAATCAAGAACCAAGCCTCTTAATTTGAGTGGATTTCCTTTTGATTTAAGCTTAAATCTGATTGAATCAAGAGTCCGTTTTCTTTTCAATGTTTTCAAGAGTCTGGACTCTAGATCCAATGTGTTTTTTTCCAGTGTTCAAGCAAAAGAATTTGCAAAAAATAGCTTTTAGTGATTTAGGAGTTCAACCGTCCATATGACGTTTCTAAATTGACCCCGAAATATTAGCTCATTGCTGAAGGCACCCTATTTGTACTCACTGGCCAATAGCGTCGAGGAGGAACCTGGCGCCGTCTCCATTGGTTGTCCTCTTAGTGAGAGGGACATGAGCCCGGTCCGGAATGGCCCGCTTGAGGATGGCCTGGAGGAGGCCGTGGGGAGCTATTTCGATCACAACGGCGTCAGAGGGTACGTGCTGGAGGACATCCTCGAAGAGAACAGGGCTCATCATGTTGTTCAGATGATACTCGGCGGAGCTATAGATGGCTCTGTCCTCGTGCCATTCCTCCTGTGGCACGGATGTGCTGAGCCATTTCGAGGATCTTTTGGCTTTTGCAGGCATAACCTGAAATATGAAGATGTAATCGGATTTTTTCCCAGTTTTTTTCTTTCTTTTTTTCTTTTTTTCTGGTTGTTGGCTTCTGTTCCGACAGAAACCTACAGCCATCTATAGAGTAGATTTATTGTCCGTACACTGAAAAAAAAAAAAAACTCCGGCCTTGGGAGTCGCAATTACGGGCTTGTATAGACATACCGTCCGTTCCGGGTTCAAAAGCCGAAAATTCTGGCTGCTGGAGCCGTCGCTTCGGCCTCTGAATCCGGAACAATCGAAGCTACGGCTCCAGCAGCCGAAATTTTCGGCCTTTGAAGGCCGAGTAGAACCTGTTCCTGCAGATCTACTCTTCAGTTTCGTGAAAATTTGACGCCACCACCGGGATCCAAACCCGGGACCTATTGACCTAGAGTCAGACGCGCTGACCACTAGGCAAACGGCCGGCTTCGGGCTCCCAGCTTCTTTCTATACATTACACTAGAGTCCCTTCATACTGAGAATAAAGACAATACGAATTTATTTCTGATTATTTCCCGTATTTTAGGCCTCCACAGTGTCACAAACGGGAATGAAGATTACATTTTCACCAATTGCAAAGATTATAAACTGGAATGGACCGGGAAATTGGGGGCAAGGCAAGGAACAAATGGAATGAGAGAGGGAACGGAAACAGGAATTCGGGAATAAGTTTATCAGAGATTACAAAAAACGTTCAATTCGTGTTATCTTTATTCCCGTCTGTAACATCCATGAGCCGCGTAGAATAGTAATGAATCAATGATGGAGGTGCAAAACCAGTTATCTCGATTGCAGTGTTTCAAAATTTTCGCTCTTATTTTATTTTTTTTGTCATGGGAACGGAGTTCCCCATAATATTACAATCGTTCCGTTGCTTTCGCTATGGGATTCCCTATACCTCTGCGACCTTGAGCGTTTCGCCCAGTCTCCGATTTTTGGTTGATTTTCCGATGTATCAAAAACCGTTGTATTTTTTAGCCAATCGTGTCTCTACGTCAAGTTGTGTTGATT